TTGAGTGATAAAAGGAAAAAGAGGACAGAATTACTGAAATCCAAATAACTGTAATACAGAAGATGTAGCAATCCCTCAGTGTCCCTTCTTATTTGCATCATTAATTGTTGCCTGATTAAAAATCATTATGCAGCCGAAAACAAAACAGGAAACCAAAACCTGGTGTGGTAGGAGACATAGGAGTTTGTAAATTACGGTAAAGGCTTAAGCAGATTCCAATCTGCAAACCAGAATTCATTCCTCTCAATAAACAGAAACGAGGATGCCAAAACTTAGACCTTACACAGTACAAAAGGGTAAAATAAAGAGATCGATAGAGTCCTGTAAACTGAGCAAGCAAAAGGATGGAAATTCACTGCATGTTAAACAGACATGAAAGTCTGAGCCTTGAAGATGAGATATATTCTGTTGTGTCCCTGGAGAACCTACCGAAGCAATGAATTACCTGGAGAGGAAAGCATCTTGTCTAATGGAAACCTGGGTTACTGCTCTTGCTCCTGCTGCTGCCATAGACCAGCTGATGGCTTTTTCAGGCACACAGGCTGGCTTCAAACTTGGATCTTAAGATGGAAGTCCTCAGTTGCCTCACCACAATCCATTAAATGAGGAAGTACTGATCCCAGGTTGAAATTTGGGTTTATATGCTACACTTCAGCAGCATTTCCCTGCCTCTCTCCACCACATCTCAGTGCGACCAGAGGAAATCCTAGACCTTCCATGCTGTTTTTTGGGAAGGCTAAGCCCACTGCTTCCAGAATACTACTCAGCTCATGGAACCAAGACCTTCCTGCCGTGAACATTATCAAGCAGGACTCACCCACCCTGCTTGATTAGTTTTGCACTGAGCCATGCTGGCTTATACAAGAACAATCACAACAAAAACGTTTGTATAAACCTCTATGTAAATAGATTTGTGAAGCCATCAAAAGGTTAATAATCCCAGTACAAAAATTCTTAGACAAACTCTCCTGCAGTTGAGCTGTTAGCAAAGCTATTAAATTTAATTGCAGTATAATTACATAGCCATATACCTAGCTGATACCCAGCTATCAAGCACACACAGTGCAGGTTTAACCACAAGCGTACAATACATAGGGCTTTGCCTCAGGTGCTATAAGCATCCCGCAGCCAGATGTGCTTCTGCTGTCCCAGTCAGGCTTTATCTCAGTTACAAACATGCTTAGGAATAGATGTGGAGGTTCAGTCCAGGATGCGTTAGTGCAAAGAGGGTCAAGCTGCTTTGCAGAACAAGGATGAGGAGCAAGGTAAACTCTTATGCCTTTATAACAGCTGCGGGGGCACTATTTGCAGAGCATAAAGTTAATGCTCCTCTCAGTGTTTGCAGGATCAGGGCCAAAGCAAACAGCACATATCACCCTCCTGGACTGGTCAGATATGCCTATATTTTCCTAAGGGAAGCTGCTGCCTCCTGAATCACTCTCTGCTCAAAGGCAATGAGCCCAGAAACATGTCTCTGTGCATCCAGACCATGCCTCTTGAGGATGGGGTTTGCACGGCAAACACCCCTCCTGGCTTCATAGATGCAGGTTTTGTGAGGGAGATGCTTGGAAAAGGGATTAGTGGGAGAGTACCGGGCTGCCAAGTGCTGCTGGGATGTCCCTGTGAGTGTATGTGTAAATAGGTGCACCTTCTTGGGAAATCCACAACCCTGCAGAACCAGGTAGTGACTGTAAGGGCAGACCTGCAGACACCCCTGACATGGCACCACTGAGAACACTCAGTGTGTTGGTGGGTAAAAGACTGCTGCAGACCTGCATATCTAACCCACACTGAATCCAAATCAGGCCCTGAAATGGGGAGATGAAACTCCTTCTTTCCTTGTATACACTACATTCATCTGACTTTGTATTTCTTAGATCCAGATCAAAAGCAGGAATGAAATACCTCTGATGATGGGTATTTTCATGCTGTTTCCAGCCCATACAGAAATGCCAGCAGGAAGCATTGGAAAGCCTGTGGTGAAACATCTTTCCTGTACAACTCTCACCTTAACTTTGCAGATGCTGAAAACTTGAGGCATGAAACCACCAAGGCTTCTGGGTGCTCATTGCAGTGCAAGGGTCACACAGGGGAGATATCTAATGTCAGTTCCTTGCTTCCTGGCCTTTGACACTTGGCAACGGATCTCAGTTAGGTACCATTCTTAGGATGAGATGAAGAGGTTCCAACAGATCACCTAGATGACTTCATAATGCATCCGATCTCTTCACTTGTCTGAGATGCTTCTCTGGGGTCATGGCAAGTGAGGCTTGCTATATAATAGCTGGAAAGGTGAACATATATGATGTGTGGACCTTATTAAACATAACAAGAGCACTTACATGGGTGTTATATGCTATGATTTGCCAAGAGGCTATGGAGGCTCCTTTAACAAAAGGGAGAGGGCTTTCGTTAGGGGCTTAAGAGCAACTTTTGGATAGTGCCAGCACTGCAGAGCAGTGAAATCCCTGCTGGGGCTGTGGATCTCTTACAGTGGGCACAGTAGGTCAAACTCTCTGTCTCCCTCTGGGCTTTCATTTTACGGTCTTAAACAAACAATTCCATTTAAATATAGGAAATGGCTGGAAGCAGCTCCTTTGCTAGGAACTTACTGAGCTCATCAATTATTGAATAGGAATATTTATGGAAATGGTGCCAAACTCCACGTTCCTTGGGGAAGCTACCAGGAGAGCTTAGGCTTTTCCATTAAGTGGGAGCACAGGATTTGCCATATCTCCTGAGATCATCCATGCATTTTGCATTGGTTCCTGCCTTTGGTGGTGGCCAGTCTGTGATGATTCAGAGGAAAATGACCTCTACCCCCAAGCCATTTTTCACTAGACTAATCGTCAATGCATGGAAAGAAATTACTTCTGATCCCTGGGGGAATTCACTAACGCTTTGAAGCTCTGACGCCTTTCGCTTTGGCACAGGTTAAGGCTGACCGTACAGCAAACCCCATTGGCAGCTCAGAAAACCCTTTGGGTCTCTGTATTTTTGGCATTTAGATCATTTTGCCACCAGGACCCACTGCTAGCTAATGTAGTTAGTATTAAATCCATCCCCACCTGTTCAGTCCCCTCAGTTATTGCATTTGATCCTCAACGGATAGGATAAACCACTGTTAAGTATTACGAGCCAAGCTGGGAACTCAATTGCTCCTTGGCCAATCTGATACGTGTCAAACAAAATGAAAACCTAAATGAAGGGAAAAGAAAAACTCGGCCCACAGGTGTGCCCACTGTGGGCAAGGACAAAGTAATGTGCAGCTAGGAAATGAAGTAAGAGAGGGACAGGGTTTCTCCATGCTGTTTGATTGAATAAGCTCCTACTAAAATAATATTGTAGAGAGTGGTGCTTTCATTGCAAAAAGCATTCATGAGAGCACCAAAAAGTAATACCAGGGGTTTTAGGGGAAAACGAGGGGTTCCCTGCTGCAAGATAATGGTACTGGTAAAATGAGAGTTATGCTTAATAAATCATAGAATCATAGAATAGTTTGGGTTGTAAAGGACCTTAAGATCATCAAGTTCCAACCCCCCTGCCATGGGCAGGGACACCTCACACTAAACCATGGCACCCAAGGCTTCATCCAGCCTGGCCTTGAACACTGCCGGGGATGGAGCATTCACAACCTCCCTGGGCAACCCATTCCAGTGCCTCACCACCCTAACAGGAAAGAACTTCTTCCTTATATCCAATCTAAACTTCCCCTGTTTAAGTTTTAACCCGTTACCCCTTGTCCTATCACTACAGTCCCTAATGAAGAGTCCCTCCCCAGCATCCCTATAGGCCTCCTTCAGATACTGGAAGGCTGCTATGAGGTCTCCACGCAGCCTTCTCTTCTCCAGGCTGAACAGCCCCAACTTCCTCAGCCTGTCTTCATACGGGAGGTGCTCCAGTCCCCTGATCATCCTCGTGGCCTCCTCTGGACTTGTTCCAACAGTTCCATGTCCTTTTTATGTTGAGGACACCAGAACTGCACACAATGCTCCAGGTGAGGTCTCATGAGAGCAGAGTAAAGGGGCAGGATCACCTCATTTGACCTGCTGGTCACGCTCCTTTTGATGCAGCCCAGGATATGGTTGCTTTCTGGGCTGCAAGCGCACACTGCCTGCTCATGTTCATTTTCTCATCGACCAACACTCCCAAGTCCTGGGGTGAAGAAGGTTCTGTATTTTTGGCATTTAGATTGTTTTGCCACCACGAGAAGTTTCCTGCTTCCTTTGAGGGCATGTAACATGGAACTGGGGAGGGACTCTTCATTAGGGACTGTAGTGACAGGACAAGGAGTAACGGGTTAAAACTTAAACAGGGGAAGTTTAGATTGGATATAAGGAGGAAATTCTTTCCTGTTAGGGTGGTGAGGCACTGGAATGGGTTGCCCAGGGAGGTTGTGAATGCTCCATCCCTGGCAGTGCTCAAGACCAGGTTGGACGAAGCCTTGGGTGCCATGGTTTAGTGTGAGGTGTCCCTGCCCATGGCAGGGGATTGGAACTGGATGATCTTCAGGTCCTTTCCAACCCAAACTATTCTATGATTCTATGTAACCAAAAGTAGTAACTGCACAGTGAAACTTGATGTGTCCACATGCTTGCTGCTTTTCTTCTGCATGAGGCAGAGACCAGCTACTGGAAGCTCAGGTTTTCTCCGTTTTGGCCCCAGGGTTCATCTAACTTGCTGTTTCTCCTTTTCTCTTACAGGCTGACTTTGTGATCAGAAAAAGCTTCCTTTTTCCTTGCCCCACCTTTCCTTTAAACTTAATAAAACTGATAGCTAAAGCAGCTTTTCTACCCAGTGCCTGTGTGTTCAGTTTAAAAGACCCCTTCTGCAGCCTAAACCCCAATCCAAGCTGCTCAGATGAGGCATGTGAGAGTATTTAGCTTATTTGTGACTCAGTGATTGAAAATCCTTAAAACTGATCATTTGCAGCTGGTTATCCATGATATAACTAGCTGGCTACCCCAAAGTCTAGGTCTGCAAATGAATCTGATGTTTTTTTTTCCTACCCGTGCTCTGGAGGACTTTATGTTAGCTACAGATTTGCTAGGTTTTAAGCATCCTGCAAAGCCATGCCTTCAATTTGGTTGGCAATATGAGTTCTGCTCTCTGAGAGCTCTTAATGCAGCCCTGCTTTCCACAAAGGGGATCAGGAGAGTCAGGCACAGAGAACGGTGGTGTGATGTGGATATCTTATGGAGATGGTGAGTCTGCAGGGACCTGGCTTCACAAAAGCAATTAGGGTCCTACGTGTCATCAACTTCATTACTCAACATAAGCCTGTGCCTGCTGTAAATATGTGGGAGAATGTTCCATATTTATGTGTTTATGAATGGAGTTTGTGTGTGGTTGTCTTATGTTCATATGTCAGACTGTACAGAATGAAGAGGTAGGTGACTGCATGTTTTTGCATGATTGCAAAGACTGGAAACACATCTGTAGCCACATATATGCACAGCTACATGCAGCCCTAATAGGGTGACTATAAATCCTTCAAACATTTGCCTTTTGCAGGGCTGAAATGAAGATCTATTGTGCTGAATGCCTGGAGCTGGAAGTGTGTTTTTGTGCTGCATATTAATCACCAGGGAGGTGTAAAGACCTGAATGCCAATAGGCACATGTGTTGTTTGGTGTGTATTTGTATAGAAATACCACTTGTTTCTTTATGGAAACTGTACCTTAGTCTTGCAAAATAGGAAACAGGACAACTGTGGAGACAGCATGTGTAGAATGAGCCATAAAGACGGATCCTATTCAAAGCCTCCAAAAAGAGTGTTAAGTCCCCCATAGCAGGGGATGGAGGAGCTGGCACAACAGAGGTGATAGACCCGTACCACTTGAGTCTCTGTTTCTTTCCAGCACTCCTATTTTCAGGTGTTACAGCACTCAGGTATGAATCTGCCCCTGGGATCCTGGTGCTTTTTCAGTGCACGTTAAGTATGGGTTATTGCGACTCTTTCAAGTATGCAGGGGAATTTAAGACACAGGTCTTTTGGGAAGCCAGAAACATACGGTGATCATATTACTGGTGATCTTCTCGAGTGAACCTGTACCTTCTGGGCAATGTAATGTTGTTGTACAATTTTCTCTGTGTGGTACATACTGAAAAGTCAAAAATCTGTTTATCATGCAGGTGTACACTTGATGTACTGGGAATACGGATCATTCCGCGTTCGTATCTGGGTATTTCTGTGCCTTCAGCTGATCGAATAAACAAGAGCCTGTGGTACAATTCAAAGAAGAGCAATATTCCCTCTCTCAATCCAGTGCTAAGAAAACGCTGGAGAATGCAGAGCCCACAGCTCGCCCGTGTCTACAGCTGATGAGAGCAGATATCACTAAGATGACATCCCTGTCACAAACAATTCCTCTGGTCCTGCATAAATCATTGGTCGGAGGAGGGACTTTGACTAATTACTCTCAGGGTGCTGGCATGCTTTCAGCTCAGCCAGATACATGAGCCAAGCAGGATTTATCAGGTATGAACACTTTGTACTACATTACAACACCCAGTCACTTGTGATTGGATTTGGGAGTAAACTAAGGCCCAGATAATAGTCTGTGTGGATGGCAAACACACTGAACAATAAAGGGTGAGAATCACCTTCATGTTCCCAACACTGCCCTTCATCTGTCCCCTCCCTCTCCCAAGCACCTTCTCCCTCTCTATTTCTCTCCACCTCTCCTTGATGGATTAGGAGGACAATGAATAATGTGCAGCAATGAGCAGAGCAAACAAGACTTCACAATGGAGTGGTGCTGCTTTGCATTACCAAGAGACTTACTCAAACACAGTCCGGATTTACTCATCAGGTACAGGGCTCTGGAATTCCCATTGCAGAAATGCTGTTTGGAAGCATTGCTATCACCTGGACATATAATGGGGAAAATGGCTGGGAATCTGAGAAATATTCTTACAACATTCATTCATCAAGAACCGTTAAGGGCAGGATTTCCCTGTTTGATTCATGCTTTGTATTGTGCAAGCCCTGACTGAACTGCGAAGCGCCAGTGAATTGGCCTCAGATCCACAAAGTGCCACCTGAGCCACCTCTGACACCTGAATCTTGGCTATCTGAAAGATCAAGTGTTGCCCATTCTTTGTCTTTGTTTCATGTCAATCCACTTCAGGTCTGATCCTGGACCTGTTCCAGGTTCAGGAAGCTCCCAAGAGCTGTCACTTGGGTCACATCCTTAACCTGATCCTCAGACAGAGGATGCAGCACCTCCTCTGCACAAGGTCTCCCTGGGATGCAGTTGATATAATGCAAGAGGAATGTGCATCCCCTTTGTCAAACTTTAAGAAAATAGCTTAGCTGCCTTGGCAAAAGGGGGAAAACTGACTGGAAGAGTCCACATAAATATGAAGACTTGAGTGAGCCTTAAGTCTGTGGATGGGCTATTCCTTCCCTGCTGCTATGTAAGACAGATTGAAGCATCTTCAGGACAGCCAAGCTTGCCCACAGCCTCTAAAGCAAAGGTGTATTTTGGCTGATGCACAGGCTGGTGGCATTTTTATTCTTGTTTTCCTTTAACTGGCATGTCTTTTATCATTCCCAGCTCAATATTATCTGTGACTCAGTGAATGAGGAAACTGAGAGGACAAAATATATGCACCTAGATGTATGTGAGAGATGGGATTGCCAGGCAAAGGGTCTAGCAAGGAGTATTTTGCCTGCTACAGTAGACAGAGGTATAAATAGGGTGCATTTTTAGGCACCCATAAAATGCTCCCCCAGATCTTGGGATAGACACAGTCAGAGATGTCTAGAGAAGCATAATGAAGCCATTTGCTGAGCAGTATTAAAGAGAGTGTGAAAATACATTTCAGAGAGTGCTCAGTCAGTGGATCTCTGCTGAGACAATAGTCTACACGGGGGTCTTTGGTAGTTGTCTGGGGAAATCAAAGTGCTCACTGGCACCATGCACTGCTGCTTGGGCAGTACATCAGTATGTACAGCTGCCTGCTTTACCTCCAGTGGTGGGCGAAATGATCTCGCTGTGAGCTGTGGCTGCCTTTCAGCTCCGGGCACAGGTATAAATACAGATCTAAGCAGGATGTTAGTGAAATGCTTGCAGCCCTCCCTGCCAACTACGTGTGCACTGTGCCCATCTCTCCCCCCCGTGCCTGTCCTGTCAGGCAAGGAAGGTGCAGAGGGCCATTCCCAGAGAACAGGCTAAAGCTTGCACTTCTCTGCAGTCAATGGTTTTGTTTTACTGCTGAAGAGCTGGGCATCCCTTTTCAAAGCGTGGACCCTTTTCTCCATTTGCCTTCCCTTCTTTTCCCTTCCCTTATCTCTTCCCTTCATTCCACCCCCCCCTTTTTTCTTTTCCCCTTCCTATTTTCCCCTTCCCCCCTCCCACTTCCCTTTTTCCCCTTCCTTTCCTCTTCCCCTTTCCCTTTACTCTCCCTCTCCTTCCCCCAGGCATTCTGTAGGTACAGGCAGTTCAATCACAGGAGTTCAGTTGCGAGACAAGGACATGCAATAAAGAGACAATAAACAAACAGTGGTGTATGAGTGGAGCTGAAGAAAGAATAGACATGAACTCAACCCCATTATTTGCTTTCCTTTGTGCTTTTTCCATCTGGATACAGAGGAATATGTGCCAACAAAGCTGATGGGAAAGCAGACAAGGGGGTTTTCTATGAGCCACTTTTCCAGTACTCCTCAGAAAGTTTCAGGTTTGTGGTGGAGACACATTGGTGCTTTTGGAGGTAGCTGAGCCAAGGAAAGAGCATTTGGTTGGGTGCTGAGGATGCTGATGTGTGGGAAGCTACAGCCAGCACACAAGTATCCAGAAAGACATTGGTTTCCACATAGACTTGAATGTCTTTTAGCAGAAGGTGTTGTGCAGCTGCACTGGTTAATCCATGTTAATTAAATTGTTATCACCTTACTCACATTTCCTTTTGGAAAGGTTTGGGTTTGGATCTTTACATTTTGGGGTTTTTTTTTGAATAGTAAAATGCAGCTTCTGCAGAACAAGACATACCCATGTGAAAATGTTGACCTTCGTTTTTGTGATAGGGGAAGGGGAACTGCAACAGTTTGATTTGCTGTTTTGAAACCAGCGTATTTCATTTGGCTCAAACTGACTAATGTTTCTTTAATCTTCTATCTATTACACTTCTGGATCTGGTTCAACGTTAAGCTGTATATTTCCTCTGAAGGTGTCCCATGGAATTGTGGCTGAGACATCTCTACCCCCCAGCACTGACCTTGCTGGCTAAAGCAGCTTCCCAATGCAGGGTGGTCTCCCCTTGGAGGGAGGTGGGTGATGCACCTTCCTGGTGCCTCATGCCTGCAGGTGTATCCTATGCTCTTTGCAGCTTGCCAAAGCGTTGCCCCATCTCTGGTCTATGTGCTGTTCAAGACCACATTCACATTTGATTCATGGAAAAGGACTAAAGCTTAAATAAAGCTGCAAAAGCCACAAACTTAGCTTTAAAACTTAGCTTTTAACTCATGTTAAGGTTTGGCCAGTACACGTGGCTGGGTAGCTTCTCCTTATTGCAAGCTCTGTAGCAAACTGAAATGCAAACCAGGAGCACTCTATGGTTGCTAGTGGTTTCAACACCTAGGCCTACACTTGAAGAAGCATCTGACTTTCTCTTTTTAATCAATCTTAAGATTACATTGGTGGTTGAGGCTTTTCCAAAGGATAGAACCAGGCCAGCACTGGCTGCATTTGCCCTGATGTGTTTTCATCCTGTCCCCCAGAATTACCCTGGCTGCAGCCACGAAAGTGTCTCCTGGCATTTTCAAAGATGGTGAATGTCAGACCTGCATGTAAATCCAGACCTTGGTCCTCTGCAGAATGAGCTTCAAATGGCAAAATAATGTGCCATAACTACTACATTGTGCAAAGACATTGATAAGACTGTGTCAAGGACAGTGTTAATTACTGTTAGTCTCTCTGGTATCACTGCTTGCTTCTTTATACATCACAGTAACAAGATATGATGGGGATTGTACCTAAATCAGGTTCTCCCTTCCAAGTGTCCTACTGGCTGGTCTGGCCACTAGGAATCACAAGGAGTGCATGTTTTTGGTGGGGAACAGACCACCTAAGCAACAAAGTGATCCCGGGTGGGCTATAAACTTACTGTGAAAAAATGAATTGGAAGTGTGTGGCTTTGGCAAACATATTTTTTGTGGCTTAAGCCTTCAATCAACCCATCATTCACTCAACAGCTGGCAGAAGAGGAAAGAAAATCCACTCTTTTGTGATAGAGCAAAGATTTCATAACGAAGAGGATGCCAAAATCTGCTCTTTGCTATGCAGAAACAGGTAGAGTACAAATAATCCTCACGTCAGTTTGGTCACCTAGATCCCATACCCATTTAAATGAGAAGAAAGCATGAGGCTGCTGAACTCTCTGTTAGTTTTATATCCCCATTCAGATCTCCCTGCTTTGCCATTCTGTTCTCCATGCCTTTCCTCAGCAGAATGGTTAGTTGCCTCTGGAACTAATTCACTTTATGTGCTGCAATGATTGCACCTGGCATCCTCTCCCGTATCTTCACTTGGGCTTTCCTTTAATTCTTCCTTCTCTGCTTTCTTAGAAGATGTTCTCCATGGTATTAAAGGTGGATTTACTTCTGAGAAGGGAAAAACACAAAGTCATAAAAATCCTTTACAGTTCTAATTAGACTTGAGTAATGTATGTAGACAAAGACAGCCTTACCTGTACCAGTAAATGGAGGATCTGGGAGTCTGACTGCCTTTTGCCTTATTACTCAGTGGAGAACTGGTGTATCTCGTGATGATCAGGGACAAAGTAAGTAATGAGCACAGTGCTGTGGGCATAGTGAGGATGAATGGAGGATTTGGGGGTCAGCCAGTCCTCATGGCTTATTGCGCCTCAGGGCTTTTTCCTTTGACTTCAGATGAGCCACTTAAATTTCTCTGCCTCTGCTTCTTTGCATGTGACAGGCAAGGAAAATGCATATATGCTCTGTGTGGTAAATGATATGAAGTGTTTGAAATGGTGGCAAGGTTTGTTAGAAACCTTGTCGCTGGAGGACAGATGCGAGGATAAAGGATATAACAGGAATACAAGGAGGAAGAGCAGAGACAGCTCAGGTGGTCTCAGATGAAAAGATCCTTTTCTTTCCCAAAGAATTCCCATGAAAGCTCATGCAAGAACCTCTAAATTAGGAAAAGAAGCATTTGCTTTAGCTTTCAGGTCAAGGATTAAAACACAGGAAGATTAAGAATTGTATTCTGTGCCTCAGTTTCCCCTTTCTCTAATGGCAGCTACAAGCAATACTGCTTCTTCACTGTGTCCCTTTTGGTTTCCAAGGCCTGTCTTCCTTTCCTATATAGACCAAGACTAATGGCTTGATTGAATCCTGAAGCTTTGAAAAGTAAATGCACTGCCATTTAGGAAGTTGTTTTCTTCACCAATAAACAGCTTTATCTGGTAATGGAAGAAAGTAGACAAGAACATATCTGAAAGAAAGGGTGTTAATAGGTTAAAATGAATCCTCCCACCTTTCCCAAAGTGAATGCACATTTATCTGAATAGCTTGATTGCAGTTGGTTATGTAAATGAATTGTTAATATCTACACATGCTTTATTCTATTACAATGAAGTCACAAATCAAATTAGGACAAAGATTTCTCTTTAATTTCTGTGCTTTTCTTCTCCTTTTTTTTTCAATTACTGCACTTTATGTAATTTTTCATCTCTCTCTGACAGCTTATTAACAGGCTTGAAGCTCACAAATTAGCATTTCTTAAAGCCCACAATGAGAAGGAATGCAAACAATTCATCAATACATATATTTCCTTCCTACTTCAATGATCTACTGACAGATATTTAAACCTTAACCTCTGCCTCTTTCCAGTCAACCTTTGGGCAAATCCATCTCTTTTCTTTATAAAGTAAAGTGCTACCAAAGTCACAAATGGAGGGGGCAAAGTCATTACCTCAGCTGGGTTCTGTCAGCTTAAAACAGATGCAGACATTTAAATAGATGGTGGAGAGGACTGGGGAGCACAGCTTCTGAGGACACCATGGGTGTTCCTACTCCCGACCTGCCTGTCTGTATACACCAAAAGGTAAAGCAAATGATAAGAAATAAAAGCCTTTTGTTTGCAGCAGATATTACCCACGCTTTCCAAAGACCAGAGCAATCCAAGGGAGTTTAAATGGGGAGATGTTGTGTGACTTCAATGTACCCTATGGAATGGGTAACGATAATTTAGATGTAGAAGGCACGCTGAGAAATACAATTTCCATTGCAGCAAATCAGGGGGGAGAGGGAAGGAAGAAACCAGTGTGATGCTGTTTGTTCCCTAACTGCAGAAAGGCTTTCACAGGGGATGGCATCAATTGCTTGTGCAGTGATCTTGTATGCTTTTAAAATGAGAACCTGCTCTCTTTATGGAATGGGGTGTTGCAGCTGGACAAAGCATCTCTGCAGATTAGATCAGACTTCATTCTAACTCCAAGTCTTTCAATTTCTTGCTGATAAATTCTTCTTCCAACACAGCTCACTTTTTCCCTATTCTCTCGCTATCCCTATGGGCATTTTCATTTGGATTTCCATGGAATGCATTTTGGAAATCCAGCTGATTCTTTAGGCAGATTAAATCAAGCATGCAAGAGAACTTGAGAAATAACTGGAATAAGAAAACTAAAGGTTGATTATTTGTGACCATGTTGCAAAGTTTGGCTGTTATTTTACCTGCTTTGAAGTATCTCAAAAGCAAGATGCTCTGTCCTTTGTAAGGATGGTTTATAATCACTACTACTATAATCACATTTTTCTTCTCTACAACGAGAACCGCTGTGGAGAAGAGGCAAATGGGGGCATTTTGATCCAATTCAGACAGCTTAAATGCCCTCCAAGACCCAGTGTGTTGTGACGTCTATGGGCTGGCTTGTAGCCCCCAAAGTAAGCAGCCAAAGCAGTCCTTGCCATCTGAGGTATGGGACAGGGACTGAATAACCCAGTAG